AGGCTGCTATTAGGTCTCCCCGGAGCCTCCTCTTCTCCAGGCTGAACAACCCCAGCTCCCTCAGCCTGTCCTCGTAGCAGAGGTGCTCCATCCCCCTGATCATCCTTGTGGCCCTCCTCTGGACCCGCTCCATCAGGTCCATGTCCTTATATTGAGGGCTCCAGACCTGCACACAATACTCCAGGTGAGGTCTCACCAGAGCAGAGTAAAGTGGCAGAATCCCCTCTCTGGACCTGCTGGCAACGCATCTTTTGATGCAGCCCAGGATGGGATTGGCCTTCTGGGCTGCAACTGCCCACTGCCTGCTCATGTCCAGCTTCTCATCCACCAGCACCCCCAAGTCCCTTTCCTCAGGGCTGCTTTCTAATACCTCACCCCCCAGTCTGTACTGATGGTGAGGATTGTTCTGGCCATCTCCTGCAAAGGCAAAGCCACCACAGCCCACGGCCGCAGCTTTCATCGTGAACTCAAACCCACCATGATGAATTCAACCCTCTAATGGTGTCATACGATGGAAAAATCCTTTTGATCATCAAACAAGTGGTTTTAAGAGGAAATTTATCACCTCTTTTTTTTTTTTCCTCCCCTTTTCTTTGCTTTTCTGGGGTGCAATCGTCACACTGCGCCACTACCACGACGAGGAAAATTTTAAAAAGGAAAAAAAACACAACAACAAACCCCAGCACCCCCAAGCACCAGTTCTCTGCAGACCAGAGCAGAACAGCCCACGACCAAATGGGTGTTAATGTCACGTTAATTTAGCAGTTTCTCTCCGGATTCCAGAGTAGGAGCACCACTAACACATCCTGTACCTCTAAAAAAACCAAAAAAACACAAAAAACCCCAAAAATCAGCAGCTGAATGCACTTCTAACCTTATTTCTGACTGCGTTGGTGGCTGAAAAATGGTTTGTCATAAATGTTTCTGTTCTATAAACTGTGCTGCACTCTATGCCCAAGAATGACAGGCCCACGGAGCTACTGCTTAGAGAATAAGCAGTGAGTGGGGAAATGCTCAGCAGGACACCAGAAATCACTGCAAGATTCAAACTTCACTACACAATGAGCAAAATTACATACTTTGAAGAGCACAAAAACACCTCATCAAAGGTGGAATCTGTCACTGGCTACTTTTGCCACGTGTGGAAGGGAAGGAGCCTGATCAAAGTGTTCATCTGCTCCTCTCCCAAAGGAGATGGCCAGCCAGTGCAGTGAGAACATTGCAATTCCATGACGAGGAGCCTCATCAAGTACCTTAATTTCGAGCTATATACAAATAAAATAAATAAAGTAAATAAATTAATTAATTAAAGTAAATAAAATAAATAAAATAAATTTCGAGCTATATACAAATAAAATAAAGTAAATAAATAAATTAATTAAAGTAAATAAAATAAATAAAATAAAACAAAGCCCCCCCAGCACCTCCATGGCCTCCTCTGGACCTGTTCCAACAGGTCCACGTCCTTCCTGTGCTGAGGACTCTAAAGCTGAACACAGGACTCCAGGTGGGGTCTCACCAGAGCAGAGCAGAGGGGGAGAAACACCTCTCTTGATCCACTAGCAATGTTTTTTTTTGATGTGGCCCAGGATGCAGCTGGCTTTCTGAGCTGTGAGCTGAAGGTATTTGGGAAGAGGACAAATTGACCCATCTCACCCCCTCAGCCCTCACTGCCACAGGACACTGGCTCAGGCTTTGTGTTGCACCATCCCCAACCACGTTCAAAGCCACACCTTCTCTTGATCCACTAGCAACGCTTTTTTTGATGTGGCCCAGGATGCAACTGGCTTTCTGAGCTGTGAGCTGAAGGTATTTGGGAAGAGGACAAATTGACCCATCTCACCCCCTCAGCCCTCACTGCCACAGGACACTGGCTCAGGCTTTGTATTGCACCATCCCCAACCACGTTCAAAGCCCTCGAGCTCTTCTGATGTGCTCTGGCTTCAGGTCCCCCTTGCTCTGAGCTAGTCCCTGCTACATATTCTTCAACAGCACCCAGCAAAGTCATTGTATTTTACTGGATTTTTTTTAACACTACATTTAAGCTTTTTTTTAAAAGCAGTTGGACAAAGCTGGTGAAAGTCATTTAACAGATCTATAGGCATCACTCATTTTTAAGTGTTAAAAGAACGATTCTCAGGCATCAAAAGCTGAACAGGATTACAGAATGCGGTCAAAGGTGCAGAATAAAGGCTAAAAGAGCCATACAAAAAAGAAAATATAAAACAGGTAATAAAATGATGAGTAATTGAAGTATCTGATAAAAAACTGATCACTTCTCTCCCTCTTTTTCAACATTGAGAGTTTAGCCAGCACATCTGAAGTGAACCATATTACTGGATGAGCTCAGCAGAAATTAACCCTATTTCCCTTATTGCCAAATTAGTAAGTATAAAACAGAGAAATGGCATTTGGCCTTCAGTATCTGAAAATGGCATTAGGAAGACCATATTCTAACTGACTAAATACCAATATTCCAAGGGAGAGGGGGGAAAATGTGCTGACAACATCCTAAATTTGTGGAAAAAAACCCCAAACATAAAAAAAGGGAAAGTTCTCAGAAATATGATGATGAAGGCAACCAGCTGGCACGGCAAGGTGTTCCCTGCTGCAGAACTAGTAACGGATCTTGAAAATCTGCATGCTTGCTGCGTGGATGTGCCTCCTGTACACCAGCCCCCCCTCCCCGCCAAGGAAATACAGAAGGGACACCTCGGGGAGCAGGCAGTCCCCCGAGCAGATGGCCGGGCACTCATCCGGACGGACACAGGCTCGGGGAAGGGTTGTAGTAGTGGATGGTGGGGTTCTGAGCACTGCAGCAACTCGTCACATAAATTGCTCAGTCACCCTGGTGTGAGGGGCTGCAGCAAAGCGCTCGCTCGGTGCTGGCACCACTGGTTGGCAAGTCGTGCCATGTCACCAGCATCTGCTGGAAGAGGATGAGCAGGACTGAGCTTGCTGCGTGGATGTGCCTCCTGTACACCAGCCCCCCCTCCCCGCCAAGGAAATACAGAAGGGACACCTCAGGGAGCAGGCAGTCCCCCGAGCAGATGGCCGGGCACTCATCCGGACGGACACAGGCTCGGGGAAGGGTTGTAGTAGTGGATGGTGGGGTTCTGAGCACTGCAGCAACTCGTCACATAAATTGCTCAGTCACCCTGGTGTGAGGGGCTGCAGCAAAGCGCTCGCTCGGTGCTGGCACCACTGGTTGGCAAGTCGTGCCATGTCACCAGCATCTGCTGGAAGAGGATGACTGGCTGCCTGGGAAAAGGCATAGGCTTTTGCAGCAGCAGCAGGGATGGAGCAAGCTGCATAGGTGGTGTAATGCTGAAATAATAACCAAGTTCACTATGGATTTAAAAAAAATTAAAAATTAAAAAGCTACTGCAAGGAAATGGAAGCTCAGTACATAAACAAAATCACGCTTTCCCATCCAAATTTATCCTGACAGTTTTATCACGGAATCATAGAATGGTTTGGGTTGGAATGGACCTTAAAGATCATCCAGTTCCATCCCCTGCCCTGGGCAGGGACACCTCCCACCACACCAGGTTGCTCCAAGCCCCCTCCACCTTGGCTTGGAACCCCGCCAGGGATGGGGCAGCCACGGCTGCTCTGGGCAACCTGGGCCAGGCTCTCACCACCCTCACAGCAAAGAACTTCTTCCCCACATCTCATCTCAGTCTCCCCTCTTTCAGTTTGAAGTAGTTTGCAATGCTGCACCAGACCAGAGTAAGCAAGTTCAGTAGGTACAGATTTATACAGAGACAGGTCACTTCAAACTAAAATCAAGGAACTTTTGGTGAAGTTTTTTTTTGTTTGTTTAGCTGGGTTTTTTTAAGCTGAGAACCTCGAGGGTATTACAGGGTAGTGCTTCCTTCTGGACACTGCAACGGGGCAAGAAACCTCGGTTTACACTCTGCCACCACGCAGAAATACCCCTTGAGATGCAAAGATTTATAAAGAAAATCTTGGTTTTACTTTAACAATCGAATTCAAAGAAAACAAGCATTTCTAGTCAATCTAAATTTTATACAAAGACATAAAAAATATGCTTTTTAATCTGAGTTAAACAAACTGAAATAGCCCCTTTTATCTTTGGTTATCAGTTGAGGAACTGAGAGAAACAAGGGGGTTTGGTGTTAAACCTACTTCCTTTTCTTACATGTTATTTTTATAACATGTATTTTTATTTGACGCACACGAGCATTCATCTTTACAGATTTACCTGAGACTTGACAATTAAACCCCAAAATGTCAGGCACATTGAAAACAAGATGAGATGACCAGCAAAGTGCAGGAATCCAGCAGTTCATCTCGGAGCAGCCACACGACTGCTTGTGTGAATGAGGATCCTGGTGTCACTTATATATAAGAAAATAGCCCTTAATTTCTAAAGAAACTTCAGATAAATAATGAAACTGGAATTTTACTGGGGCCTGCCTTACAACAGTACCAAAAAAACCCAACCCCAAATCCCTGCCCTTTTTTCTTTAGCGCACCCATTCCAGGATACGCTGGGGGCTGCCTTACAACAGTACCAAAAAAATCCAGCCCCAAATCCCTGCCCTTTTTTCTTTAGCACACCCATTCCAGGATACCTCCGAGCCATTTGTGGCTCTTTGGAAATGGAAAAAAATTGGGATTGTCAGGGTTGCACTTTTTTTTTTTCAGGAATTGGCACTAAAAGGTTATCATCCAGCTGGTATTTTCTAAACTAGCTTCATTTCTGACATAAAAGAAGTCCGAGAGAGATGCAGACAGACGTATGGCCTCTCCTGTGTGTGCACAAATACCTGATTTCATCTCCCTGGGTGTGTAACAGAGCTTGAACTTGAGACTCAACAGAACCGAGTCATCACCTGGAATGATTCCAGCAGCAAAAAACCCCTCTGAGAACTAAAATTAATTTGCAGATCACCTCCGTTTCACTCCTGGAGGGTACAGGGCATCTTCCTGCCTTCCCCACGGTATGTAAAGATTTGCTGATTCTCATTAGTATAGAAATTTATAGAGCAAGAAAAGGAGTTGTAGATGTTGTTCCAGCAGTACTGCTATGGAGCTGCCTCTGCAGGAAGGTCTGCAGGACTACAAGGATAGGACTACTGCAGGACTACTACTGTAGGACTACAAAGATGATGCCTGGAGCATCTCGCTTATGAGAAAAGGCTGAGGGACTTGGATCTGTTTAGTCTGGAGAAGAGAAAGCTGAGGGGGGATCTGATCAACACCTATAAATACTTAAAGGGTGGGTGGGGGCCGGTCTTTTTTCAGTGGTGCCCAGTGACAGGACAAGAGGAAATGGGCACAAACTTGAACATAAGAAGTTCCACTTAAACATGAGGAGGCACTTCTCCACTTTGAGGGTGGCAGAGCCCTGGCAGAGGCTGCCCAGGGAGGTGGTGGGGTCTCCTTCCCTGGAGACATTCCAACCCACCTGGACACGTTCCTGTGGGACCTGCTCTGGGAGGACCTGCTCTGGCAGGGGGATTGGACTAGATGATCTCCAGAGGTCCCTTCCAACCCCATGTGATTCTGTGACTCATTTTGTGATTCTGTCTGCAAGGGGACACACACAGAGGACTGGGATGAGGGAATTGAAAGTTCTTTGTGGCTTTTTGAGAATTACAACCAGGAAAACATTAATTACTCTAAGCATACCTCTCCCAGTAAGGTATTCTTCACGTTCAAAATTTACTAATATAAATATGATCTATATAGATAATATAAATATGGGAAAAGTTATTTAAATGACCTCAACAAACCAATTCTTGGTCACTGACACTGCCAACACTCTTGGGATTCTTCTTTTTAACTACTTCACTGTACTAGAACCTCACACTACCATCCCCAGTATTGTAAATGTATTTTAAAAAAAAAAAAATTCAAGTTTTCTCTACAAGCTTAATTAGAGAAGCAACAGAGCTTGCTGGTGTGCATTACTGAAATAATTACATAGAAACTATTTGCTCTTTCACAATATCACCTCTATACCAAGCTTTGAGAAACCACTTTAGGATGGCAAATTAATGCTTCCCGGGAAAAAAAGTACAATTTGGCTTAAAATTTTATTTCTGAAGAAGTTCTGAAAAGCCAGACAAGGGCTCCAGGCAGCCTCCTAGCTGCTTTTGAGCAACTTTAACAAGGCATGACATTATTTTCGATAACTAGGCTTTGCCAGACCAGGGTAGTTTTGCCTGAAATTCTTCTTGCCGAGTGATTTATTTTAAAGCTTTCTGCACCCAGTCATTCAACCTATTAAAAAAATAAATACGTATTTCTTTTTTCCACCCTGGAGTCAGCATTAGCTATTCCACCTCCTGTCCCTAATGCCCAGGATTCTCTGGGCAGTTAGAGCTGGATGGGAAGAAGAAGGATCAACAGGCAGCAAAACAGCTTGGAAAAGTGGGGAAAAAAGGATACTGGAGAAGCTTCTGGAGGAGCCCCAGAGGGAAAAAAAAATACAGACCTAAAGCAGACAGAGCTCCTGTTATCCTTAACTTGAGCAAATGGGCTGTTTTCACCCAGCCCCCTCCTTACCAAGGTGTGTCGCTTCATGTGCTCCCGGCGGGTGAACTTCTTCCCGCAGATCTCGCAGGGATAGGGCCTCTCTCCCGTGTGGGATCGCATGTGTCTCTTCAGGATGCACTGATGCATGGCCGAAAAACTGCAGTACGGGCACTTGAACTTCTTCCTGATGACTGTGAACTCGTTGACTGTAAGAGAACAGGCAAAACACAACGATCACTTTCAGGATGCCTCAAAACGGTCAGTCTTCTCATTTACTACTTCACTAGTAGTTTGCTGTGAAATCACACTCTCACCTCTTAACCCCCTCCCTTACCAAGGTGTGTCGCTTCATGTGCTCCCGGCGGGTGAACTTCTTCCCGCAGATCTCGCAGGGATAGGGCCTCTCTCCCGTGTGGGATCGCATGTGTCTCTTCAGGATGCACTGATGCATGGCCGAAAAACTGCAGTACGGGCACTTGAACTTCTTCCTGATGACTGTGAACTCGTTGACTGTAAGAGAACAGGCAAAACACAACGATCACTTTCAGGATGCCTCAAAACGGTCAGTCTTCTCATTTACTACTTCACTAGTAGTTTGCTGTGAAATCACACTCTCACCTCTTAACCATCTATATTTTTTTTTAAAGGTCATACTATATTATTACACTTGTCATATTAAAGCTAAGAACTTCAAATCTTTAATTTTTTTAAAGCTCATACTATATTAGTACACTTGTCATATTAAAGCTAAGAACTTCAAGTACTTTCTCAGCAGAGAAACTTTTGAACAAGCCAATGCACAAACATTTAGCAACGGTCTGTAACACACACTGCCCAACGCTTCCTAAGAGGCAGATAAAGAGGGCTGACAATCTGCTAGAATTCTCATTTATTATAATAAATTATCCTCAATATCAAGATCTAACATCCTAAGACTATAATTTGTGGAAGAAGAGGTAGCCAGCTGCAAACACAAGACCACAAACGTAACACCCCGACGCTGCCCTGTGCTTTAGTTTTGTTTTTGGGATGATGCTCGACCATCCTCACCCTCCCCAGGAGCATTTCAGTGCAGGTGCAGAGAGCACGGAGCACCCAGAAGAAATAGGAGAGTCAAGACCAACACACTCTACATCATCCAACTCTCAACTAGCATCACCATTACGGACACAGGAATATAAAAGGATGCATAATGTTGAATTACAGCAGGACCCTTCAAACCTATCTATAAGACAACTATTTAAAACCCTTGATTGACTGTTTTCTGGCCCCCTTCACTCATATTTCACTGAACCAGAAAAGAGAAAAACTCTTTGAAGCTGTTCTAACACTGTTGATTCTTTTCTTCTTGCCATCTCCTTAGAGGGGCCCAGAAAGCAGACCCAGGGGATGGGGATGGTATTGAGAGCCCAAGGGTGTAATTTGCCAGCAGAACCTCCTCCAAACAACAGAAAAACGCAACATGCAAAAAATACAGGTGAAAACAGAGTATTTGCTGCTCCCCGAGGACACCCACCCACAGTAAGCCTGGAAGTCATTGTCCACCTGGATCTGATTTTAAATCTCCACTTTCTAATAATTCCATTTCTTTCTATTAGTATGTTAATTTTCACCCACTTTTCTCCTAATTATTGTTATTTCTCAAAGCAATATATTGTTTCCGTAACACCGAGGGAATAAGAGAAAGCAAGTTCTAGTTAATCACCTGAGGTATGCTATCGGGTGTGTAAATGGCTCTTGGTAAATGAAATAGGGAAATACCAGACCTGCTCTATGGCTTTGAATATACCAAGTACTTTGCAATATTTTTAGATTATTATCAAAGTTTTATCTGCCACAAATGCCCTGCTGACTGGATGCCCCCTGTGTGCCCTCAGCACACCACAGGTAATGCCCCTGAGTTACATCAGACACGGAAAAACAACTGCTTAAAAATGGCCTTAAGAAAGTCGGTACTTTGTGTACTTACATCGTTTAATGCCCCATTTGTGGACTTCATTTTCCTTCTATTTTTAAAATTTACTTTGCATTTGCCGTACAGATAAAACAATGTGGAAAGTAACTACCTTTGGCACTCATGTAAAAGTGCAAATGACACGATGCTACAGAGACACCTTTAAACAAGGTACCACCACCCTTCATAATCAGAACAAACCCTTCGACACAAGCTCATCTTAGAAAAAGCATTCTAAGACTTTTTTTTTATTATTCTAATGCAGACTAAAAGCATGGTTCAAGATCTTAAAATCTGCCGAGAGGTGAATTTTGTCTCAGCATTTGTTTTAGCTACTCAGAATTAAACATACCCTTCACACATGCAACTTTGTGGGGGGAAAAAAAAAATCTTCCTTTGATTAGCAGTTTGAATTGGATCTAATATTCTTATATTATTTTCTTGTGTCCTAGGCTGCTGCTTTGGGCTGCTCGGTGATGGTGGTGCTCCATCCTACAGGTGCTTTTTTTGGGGGGGGGTGGTTTGATGAGTTTTTTTTCAGCACCTTTGTAAAGCTGTCAACAGAAGTTTTTAGCCCGGGGAAAAATAAACCCAAAAAGAGCCTACTCACCTGGGCTGCAATATTACTAAAGAACACTAAAGAATATTTTATTCACCCGTCGGTAACAGTTACTCCTCGCCATCAGGCGGAATTTGAAGGGCTGGTTTCAAGTGGCCGTGCCCTCGCACTTGGGAACCTCCCCGAGCAGATATTTTCACATGGCCCAGTGCCCAGAGCCTCGTGCAACCTCTCATTGACAACTGAACAACCCAGCCCTTCTCCTACCCCACACCAGTCTTCTGATTTAAAAAAAAAATTAATAATAAAAGAACATGAAAATTCTCTCTCTTTTCTATTACAGGAAAAGTTTGGATTTTTTTTTTTTTTTTTCTTTGTCTTCTCCTTTGGATTTGACAGCCCTTGTCTAAACAATCAGAGGCAAGGAGCCCACTTTCCTCTACGGCAAGTATCAATTTTAGGATACGAAGCAATTTATGATAAATACATTTCCGGTCTCATCTTGTAACTGCTGGAGCGTTAGTGATAAGCCACACAAACACTTGTATTCCCCAGGATCACTATAAACCCATTACTATGGAGTCTAGACAAGGTAAACGAGCTGTAAGCTGATCAAGGGGAGTCAAGTGGGGACACGGAACCCTCCTTGCCCCAGTCCCAGGCCACGTCCAGTGGTACCCGACACCACGAACAGCCCGCACGTGCAGAGCAGGGCCAGCAGGACACGCAGGTCAGACCACCTCACTCGGAGAAAACGGACACGGAGATCCCGACAGCAACCAGATCCCAGGATTACAAAGCAAAAGCGCTTTAGAGAAGAGAATTCCACCAAATCCCCTGTTTCCTACATCGCCAGACTGTACCCGAGCCCATCATTTCTGGAATGACGGGATGCCTCCTCTCGTTTTCTGTCCATACCCGTCCCTTCACTTTACAGGGCTGAAAGGCCTGTAGAAGCTGAAAAGGCCACTCTGAATGTCAGGTGCACAGCCTGCACCATCGGCACGTGGCTGTCACACACCCATAGCCATCTGCTTCCAACACATACATGCATTTCCAACAACAAACTCCTAACACTTTCCGATTTCAATATCCCTCTCGCTGACTTTTGCTTAAACCACCCAAGAACACCACTTTCAGCTTCTAGCACACTTATATTTAAAAAGTCACAGAACACTTTTTGCAGCTATGGTTTTATTGAAAACTACTTTTTTTCCCCCACCAAATACCTGTAGATATTTAGTTCTTGTATCTACAAAAGTAAACACCTGGAAAACAACAGCAATGTTTGAAAAATAACTGTATTGCAAAGTTAACATTTTCACTGTATATGCACCCCCAAGCACATATATTTCACGAACATAATCCCAAGTTTGGTATCATCTTTTGTCTTAAATGACAATATTTTATGGAGCTTATGTATAGCAGCATTAAGGTCCTAAGAAATAATCTTTAGCAAGACCCTCAAGACCATTAACAGCAGTGCCACAGATAACCAGCTACTGGCCACAGCTACAGCAAGAAACACACCAAGAACTGGAGAATGGAATACAAGGAGTGCCACAGCAAAAATCTATGTAATTAACTCCTCTAAAATATTTACAGATGTGCGGTTTTAAGACCAACACGACAATGCTTTGAAAAAACCCTTTGGTTTTGTCATCTCAAGTAATTTTACTTATTTCATAAAGGTTGTCAAATGAAATGGGCTTCTCCATCCTGGAC